CTAGACACCTCAATTTGAATGGTCAGTAGTAATTGAAACCTAATTTAGAATCAGGCTCTAAAAAAAAATAATTCATTTATGGGACCCAGAGATTGACACAAGGTTAACTAACCAAGCTATTAATCCATTTTCAAAATGCAAGGTTTCAAAAATAAAACCCTCACCTTCCATTTAACCTTCGTTAAATCAAAAGCCCAAATTCTCAAAATCCATAAACCTAACTTCAACAAGGAATCTCAACTTTTTATTTGCAGAGAACCATTGTACGGCCAATAAAGCATCCAGAACCTCTAAACCTTGGTGGTTCATGTGGAAACGGATGGTGGTTTTAATAATGGAGGTTTGCCTAGGAGAATAACGTCGTTGATAAGAGGAGGAAGTAGAGGAAGAGAGAGCCGAGGTAGCGGTGGAGGTGGTGGTTGGTTCGGTTTTGGTAGGTTTATAAGGCATTGGTTTACTTGTTAGAAAAGAGCAAAGAGGTAATGAAATAAAGCCCTCTATTTCCTTTTTAGTTTTTTCTGCAATTTTTAGTTAGAAGAAGCTTCATTCCTTTTCTTGCAATTTTTTCCTAAAAAACCTATGAAAAATTTCTAGTACTTAAAAGTTCAAGTATGGTGCTAGAATTGTTGATTCTGTAATTCAAACCTTTTCATTGATGCTTATTCTATAGTTTGCTTTATCAACGAAGACTTGCAAATTTGGAAAAAGTTTCAATATAAAGTATTTGATGTTATATAGAACGTATATCAATTAATTTTGTGTTCAGAGGTTATATACAACCAAAAAAGATATAGCAGACAAGCTCGATGAGAGCACCGGCAAATAACACTTGAGATTTTGGGCTTTTGATTGAATGAAGGTTAAAGGGAAGGTGAGGGTATTGTTTTCAAAACGGTACATTTTGAGAATGGGTTAATGGGTTAGTTATTGTGATGGCCACAATGCTTAGCTATTGCCAATCCCCAAGACGCCTTTGGTTGAATGTTCACATCAGATCCACTAGTCTCTGGGTCCCACAAATGAATTATTTATTGAGCCTGGTTTTAAATTACGGTTCAATTATTACTGACATTTCAAATTGGGGTGTCCAGGGGGTTAAGGTCAAAATGGGGTGCAATTGATATAAAACGCATATGTCAGGTTTTTTAAATGAATTACTCTATGCATCTCATGCTATAGCTGAACGAATGCGATGACAGGCTGAAGGTGAGCATGAAGATGATGTAATGCGTTATCCATCATATTCTAAAGCATGGAAACACTTCGATGACCAACATCCATCATTTGCTTCTGAAATTAGGAATGTCAGATTAGGACTGTGCATGGATGGTTTTCAACCATTTGGACAATTTGGCCAACAATATTCCTTATGGCTTGTAATTATCACACCATATAATTTGCCCCCATCAATGTGTATGAAAGAAGAGTATATGTTCTTTTGTGTTATTGTGTCAAGACCAATGAACCCAAAGTACAAGATTGATGTTTTTTTACAGCCTTTAGTTGCAAAGTTGAATCAATTATAGGAATCAAGTGCCAAAACTTATGACATTTTAAATTCTCGAAATTTTATGCTTCGTGCTGCTTTGCTATTAAATGTTATCTGGGTGGAGCACTATGGGCAGGATTACTTGTCCATATTACATGGAAAATACAAATGTTTTTACCTTGAAAAGTGATGGTAAGCAATTTTGGTCTGATAATCACCACAAATTTCTACCAATTGACCATACATGGAGGCGAAATCGATAGTATTTTCAGAAGAATAAGGTTGTCTATGACCCCCTCCCCTCCACCTATAAAGTCAGGCGCAGAAATATTATTGGAAATTAAAGAGTTAAGGCTTATGAAAGTGACAAATTGTGACATAAGGAGGTAAATGGTAGGACTTCTTGAAGCAGTGGGTGGAAAAAACGAAGTATATTCTAGGATTTGTTGTATTAGAGCACACTACTCATCCAGTATAACCTTGATGCTATGCATATAGAAAAGAATGTATTTGAAAGTATATTTAATATTGTGATCAACATTGATGGGAAAACAAAGGATAATGCCAAAGCCAGAGCAGATATGAAAGAAATTTTTCGTCGTCCTAAGCTAGAACAGATTGTAGAGACAGGACGATTTCCAAAGGCTTGTTATATGTTAGACAAAATGCAAAAGTAAGTATTGTGTGATTGAGTCCGTGGATTGCAGTTTCTAGATGGATATGCATCAAACATGGGTCGATGTGTTGACATGCAGAAATATAGATTACTTCGGATGAAAAGCCATGATAGTCACGTTTTCATGCAATGGCTAATACCCATAGTGTTCCGAGAGTTTTTACCAGTTAAACTATAGGAAGCCTTGATAGAGGTAAGTCTTTTTTTTTTTTCAAGGATTTGACAAGCAATGTCCTGAGATTAGAGGATATGGATTGACTTGCAGAAGAAATACTAATAATCATTTGCAAAATAGAGCGAATTTTCCCACCAGGATTCTTCAATTCTATGGAATATCTACCAATTCATTTACCATTTGATGCATGAAGAGCAAGCCCAATGCAGCATGGATGGATGTATCCATTTAAAAGGTAATATGCATGTTATGTTTTGTTTCTTATTACAGACATATTCACCTATTAAAGAAGAATGTATAGAATAAGGCAAAGGTTGGGAGGTCGATATGTGATGCATACTTGGTGGAAGAAGCTTTCACTTTTTGTTCACACTACTTTGCACCCCATGTTTACACTAAGCATCAACGAGTCTCGTGAAATGATGACGGAGGTGATAGAATGGAGAATAAGCAAAAAAAAAAAAAAAAAAAAAAAGGAGAATAAGCAAAAAAAAAATAAAAAAAAAAAAAAAGGCATTTTGAACGAGGAAGAGATACATGCAGCTAAAACTTATATTTTGTTGAACTGCAAAGAGTGACCCCAATTTGTTGAGTAAGTGTATATATATATATATATAATATATATATATATATATATATATATTTATTTAATATATTAGTGAGTTTACTGTATTTACAGAAGCCGTAAAGTTAATCTGATGATATTCTTTGGTAGAAAATATAATTTGCTGAATTAACGAAAATGAAACCTTAGTTTACCTGATGGTTTGTTAATGCAGACTAGAGACAGATTTCACAAATTGGTTTTCAAATGTTTGTAAGCATTGTTCAAGACTAACAAAATTATAATTACTCTTTAACAGATATATTTATTTATATATTAAGTGAGTTACTGTATTACAAGCCGTAAGTTAATCTGATGATATCTTTTGTAGAAAATATATTGCTGAATTACGAAAATGAAACCTTAGTTTACCTGATGGTTTGTTAATGCAAGACTAGAGAAAGATTTCACAAATTGGTTCAAATGTTTTGTAAGCATTGTTCAAACTACAAAATTATAATTACTCTTAACGAACTTAATGTTTTAATTATTGTTACTATGTTATTTGTACAGGTGCATAACTCAAAAAGTAATATAGGTAATAAATTCATTGTTGATCTACCAAAAGGACATTTGCTAATCGCAAATACGTATACTTTGTTAATGGATACAAGTTCCACATCGTGCCTTATAGGTAAAATAGAAAAACATTAAATAGTGGAGTATGTGTGAAAGGATCAAACTACAGTGATCAGTCAAGCGATTTTTACAAGAGGTTGCTTAAGGTTCTAGAGTTGAAATATCCAGCTATACCAATAAAACGAACAATATTATTTAATTGCTAATGATTTGATCCAACGCTCAATGTCGAAATGAAGGTTCATCCAAAATATAACATAATAAATATTAATAGTAGAAAAGATACACAAAGTATGAATCATTCATTCGTGCAATGAAAGCAGCTCAAGTTATTGTGTTCCATTTCCATCAATAAAGTGAGATCGTTTGGATTGGATGGCGGTGTACAAGATCAAGCTAGATCAGTTGTAGAAGAAGTTCAAACTAAACAATCTACCTTAACCTCGATCTATGAGCCATTTCAGGTTAATGAGATTGAATTACCGGTACAAATAGTTGAAGATTTAACGGAAAGACTGGATGATGAGGATGGTTAAGATTGGTATATTAGATAAAGAGATGAAGTGAAACCCCAAGTCTTAGGTATTTCAGAAGAAGGAGAAGGGGATGAAGAAGACGATGAAGAATGGGACAAAGAACCGTAAAATAGTTAGTATATCTTAAACCTAAATTTAGAACCTTATGCATAGTTACCATATTGTAGAAACTCGACCCCTAAACATAATGGTTGATGTCGAAACTTTTCTAATATTTGTGTCAACTACTATATTGTATTGCAAATCAACTTCTTCTAGTTCAAATGGATACAGGAAGGGGGTCGAGGATTATGCATGAGGGGGTCGAGGTCGTGAAATTCGAGGACGAGGTGGTCGTGCTAGAGTAAGTGATGCTATACAGTCACACGACCCTCTTACCTCCACCTCCCATCCCTCCTTCTACTCAGGCACCTATTTCTGATGTTGCAGCACTACCTGCACTAGCACCTCCACTTGATAATATTTAATTTATCATTGTTCTTCCTTTATATTTATATACGTCAATATATGTTTCAGATAAACAGAAATTATATTAGCATTCAAATTTTGTATTTCTTCTCCTTTTATATAGTTGGGGGAGATTCTCGACTACGGTTGAAGATCGTGAAAGGACAGTAAGTAACAATAAACAATTGTTGTTGTATATTGTCAATTTTAATTATAAGATACACTTATGCTGCTGACTGAAACTAATTCTATTTTTCTTTATGTTGTTCGAAAGCTTGCATCTATCCTCTAATGCCTCCAAAGCCATGATGAGGATCTTCAAGCTTCTTTTAGAGAAAAATGGATGGTGTTTGGGAGGCATACCAGCGGAGGTTAGACAGTTTTATTGGAATGAGTTTGTGGTAAATGTTCTTACTCAATTGTAATTACACTTAATAATTGTGAAATATCTGATAAAAATAGTTCGTTTTCTATTTCTTACAGAAGGAGTTCACATAGGATTCAAATGCTACAGAGGCCCAGTTTAAGAAAGCTTGGTAGACATAATTAGCAGAGCATTACTTGGACTTCCTATACAAGATGCAGAGTACAAGAAAGAAGCAAAGGTGTGTTTCCTACAAGGTATGGACTAGCTTGCAACAGGCTTGGTCCGATCCTCAATATGTGAGTAAATGAGAGATTATGTCCCGTAATAGGCTCAGCGAGATGGAAGGTGAGGGAGATGGTCTGTCTCAACACACTGTTTCATTCCAATAATTGAGATTGTTAAGAAATTGGTAAGATAGCTCCTCTTAAAGAATTATAGCTTCATTATTAAATGATTATAAAATTTTTGCGTTTTATGAAACGTATTTAGGCAGAGAAGTATAGATGTCAGCCTACCCCCATGGAGGTCTTCACATATACACATGCGAAGGACTATAAAGGGGTCACATTCATTGATTGGCGTGCAGAGCTTGTTAGAGTAAGCTTAGAAAATACCTGTTTGCTTTTCCATCACTATATTTGTATATTTTTGCATTGTTCTTATTATATATACTATCTTTATTATCAAGATAATTATACTACTGGGAAAGTGCAAGCGACTGCATCTCAAGCTCAAACTGGTGAGTAACCTACGATCGATGAGTTCCTACTTTATCTCGAGACTGCAGGAGGAGAGAAGAAACGAAAAGTGTACAACATTGGTTCGCAGCCCTTAGTTTTCTATAGTCACACCCATGGGAATTCTGCAAGTAGAGCCATGCCAGCTGAGCCGGAGGCACATATTGAGGAGATCTAGGATTTACAAGCTCAGCTTCAAGCGCAGCAGCAGCAAATATCGTAGCTTATACCAACAGTAGCTGATGGATATGTATGCTCGAGACCGACCTAGTGCACCGCTAGCTCCTTTTGTACTGATAGATCACTTTGATCCGCCAGCTTCTTCCACCCTACCTGACTTTTCTGCTTTTCAAACTCCTATAGATCTTCATGATACGCCACATTAGCCTTCTTTTTTATGATTATGTTTATTTTTTGCACAAATTACTTTATAATTTATAAGACTTTTTACACACATTAGTATTATGTTTATTCTAATGGTAATTTAGTATTTTTTTTTTCATTGCTGGTGTTAATTTGTTTGAATGATTTCAATTAGTATTATATATTGCCTTTTTAATAGATGAAACGTTTTTGTTTTTCAAAATTTTAATTTTTTATTTCTTTTATAATATATGGCAATGGACAGGAAAATGTGAAAAAAAAATTATAGAACGACTTAGCAACCGATTTGCAACGGCATTAGCGACAAAATAGCGACTATTCTACGACCACATAGCAATGGAACTTTAGGTGATTTTTTTTTTTCGAAAGTGATTTAGCGACCAATTTATCATTTATGGTTGCTAATTAGCAATCGATTTATAAGTCCGTCACTAACTTCTTAGCAACAAGATTTTATGCGACAATTTAGGTTGTCATTTGTCAGTAGCTATTTTACAATTTATGACCGAAAAATAAATGTTAGCAATCGATACATCGGTCACTAAAAGGCATTTTTAACTAATTATAATAATAATTAGTTAAACAAAATAAAAAATATATAGCCCAATATAATAAAAGATTTTAACTAATTATAATGATAAACAAAATAAAAATTTATTTTATTTTAGAAAGTATAACAATAAAAGAAACTATAAATTATTTTAGAAAGTATAACAATAAAAGAAACTATAAATTATTTTAGAAAGTATAACAATAAAAGAAAAATTATTTTAGAAAGTATAACAATAAAAGAAACTATAAATTATTTTAGAAAGTATAACAATAAAAGAAACTAACAACACAAATTACAAACAAAGGCTATATGGCAGGTTCAGGATATGGTATCCATAGTATTCAAACAAGGTATTATAAAAAATAAGTTATTATTATTATTGCTGCTGCTATTAAATGAAAACTAATAAATAAAATAAAATAAAAATATAATAAAAATATAGTATAATAGTTATAATAGGAGATATTGATAAATAAAGAAATAAAATATGCATATTTTTTATCTTAAAAAATGTTATCTTTATTGTTATTATTATTATTTTATTAAAGAAGGAGGGCATTAACCCATATAACACTCGTTGCACACGCTGCCAAAGGACCCCTACGCATTTGCTTGAAGCTGCAGACAAAGAGCACTTGAAGGCTGCTCCACTTGATGAAAACCTCTATCATACCTCAAGGCTTCATTGCACAAAATATCTGCTGCAAAATTAGCCTCCCTGAACACATGAACTACCCTAACTTCCCATGCTCTGCCTAGTAATTCTCTACATCCATGGACCAAGGATGAAAATCTGGTAGGAACAGCAGCCTCTCTATCAAGGAAATGAATTACTGTCTTGGAATCCACCTGACGCACCAGCCGTTGAAATCCCAAATCCTAAGCCGGCTTCAGACTTTGAAACTGTAATACCTTGATTTTTAAAATTATGAATAATGATTTACTGGATTGCTAATTGGTACCAAATTGGGATTTTGGTATAATTTCCAATCTGGATAAGTTATTTCATAATTATTGAGTCTTGATAGTGATTTATGTATTGCATGTTATTAGTTTGTTACTCATGCATTAAATGATTTTGGAATGTGAATTATGAAACGATACCTTAAGAAGCCTAATTGTGAGATTTGATGTGGTGTAGTTCTAATTGCACCTAGTTATTTGAAATTGAGAATTAAAATGGTTTTATTTTATTTTAGAATATTTTGCCTAAATTAATATGATTTTTCCCTATTTATTGGGTATTTAATTGTTTAAATTGGTATTTTTTTAAGCAATTAATGGAATTAATTATAATTACTAGTATTTATTTATAAATATTAGTAATTATTTTTAATTAATAGTGATAATTATTGATTTTTGATATTTGTCATTATTTATTGGAATTTATTTGTTAAAATATAAGTGAAGGAATTTATTTTGTGATTTTTTATTTATTAAATTTATTTTCATAAATAAAAGAGTAAAAAAAAAATAAAAACATTGCTAATTTTATATGGCCATGCGCCAACTTTAAGTGAAATAAAAGAAAAAACCACAAAAAAAAAAAAAAAAAAAAAAAAGAAATAAAAGAAAAAACCACAAAAAAAAAAAAAAAAAAAAAAAAAAAAAAAAAAAAAAAAAAGGAAGGAGAAAGAAACTGACGCCAGCTTCAAGAGAGAGAAAAAAAAACTAAAAAGCCTATTTTTCTAAAGTGGAGCACTTATTGGGGAAAGAGAAAAATAAATAAATAAATAAATAAAGCAAAAGAGGTAACGCCAACCCTCAAATGCACAAAGAAAAAAGAAAACTTCCTGAGAGCTTTTCTTCTTTTCCCCTCAATTTCTATCACCAAAACCTGCAAGCAAACAACAAATCAAGTATTGAATTATTAAAATAAATCAGCAAATTAAGGGGTGCAATTAGCTATAGCAGCAGTAGGGCATTCCGCAAATAATGTATGATTCTGTTTCACAATCCGTAAACTCGTTTTTTTTTTTTTTTATTGCATATTTAGAATCTGTGCTTTGAGCTTGTTATTGTGCAATTGGAGGGTAGTGCTCTTCAATTATATATTAGGTTAATTTTTTTTATTAATGTTTGTTTAGTTATGATCTTGTTAGTAATTTGAGATTTTCTTTAATTTTTATATGATCTTGTGAAATTGATTTGATATTATTATAATTGAGTGTGAATTTTATTAATTTTTGCCCAATTGATCTACTTATAAAGCTATAGTGATTTGCTGATGTGATCTTTTGTGTTGGATTGTTTGGTTTGGTAAAATACCATAATTTATTTGGTTGACAAAATGTTTCTAGAATGTCCATTTCATTTATATTTGACTTTAATTATTATTTGAACAAAATACCTTAATTTATTTAGTTGATAGATTATGTCTGGAGTGCCCATTTAATTCATATATTAATTTAATTATTATTTGGGCATGATAGTCTAAAGCCATATTAGAAAATATTATTTGCTAAAGATTTTAATTATTATTTTGAACATGTTAGCCTTAAGCTATATTAGAAAATATTATTTGTTATTGTTATAATTAGTATTTGAGTATGTTAACCTCTGGCTATATCAGAAAATGAAATGACTATTTTTTTTTTTAGTTATTATTTAGGTATGCTAGCCTAAGGGCTATATTGGAAAAGGAAATTGATGTTTAACTTAAATTTTTATTTGGCACAATATCCTAATTTATTTGATTGACATGATATTTCCAGAGTGCCCATTTAAATTTATATTTGATTTTAGTTATTATTTTGAGCATGTTAGCCTTAAGCAATATAAAAAATATATCATTGATTATTGTTACAATTAATATTTGAGTATGTTTACCTGTTGCTATATTAGAAAATGAAATGGGTTATTATTTTTAATCATTATTTTGGTTTGTTAACCTAAGAGCTATATTAGAAAAGGTAATTGGTGTTTGACCTTAATTTTTATTTGGGCATGTTAGGCCTATGGGCATATTAAAAAAAAAAAAAAATTTAATTGGTTGAATATCGTCATATCAAAAAATGTAGTAGGTTGACATATGATATAATTTGGAATGATAATGGTATTGGTACTAGGAATATATATGATAATGGTATTGTACTAGGAATATAATATATATATATATATATATTTATATATATACCGACAAAAGATAAGGATCGAAATCAAAATACATGAATTAATTAAATTCATTAATTAAGGAATCTATGATTTAGCAACAAACACACAGAATCATTAAAAACATGTGAATATAACTATATATGAAAGTTTAGGGTTCCTGAAAGTTTAGGGTTCCTGCAATCTTAACCTGGAATCCCCAGAATTAAGTCAGAGTGTGGAGGGAGAAGAGAAAGGTGCCGTCAACACGGACTTAACAGAACAAATACAAATTTATAAAACCTTTATTTAAATATAAAATACTAATTACAATACAATATTTTATACTTACAAAGGTTTTATAATTAGACTTTCTCCAACTTTGAACGCTTACAATGAACTGAGAATTGAGGGAGAGGGACTTCTAGTAGAGAGAGAGGTATTTCTAGCTTATGCCTTCATAAGGGGAGAGGCTCCCTTTTATAGGAAAAATAAGAATCTTTACTATTTGTCTTTTACTGTTAATGAACAGCGAATGGTCTGCCACCGAATCTTGACTTTTACTGTGGATGAACAGTGGTTGGTCGGATGAAAACATGGTTGGTCTCACACCTGAATCTTGACCTTTACTGTTGAAATAGTACCTGGGCTCCGTACTGTTGAAAAAATTAATGGGTGGACAGGAATAAAGGGTTCCTTCTGCTATTTTATAGTGGAATCGAGACAAGACGAAGTACGAATGATGTGTCCATTCTCCTTTTCCTTTTCTTTTCTTTATTTTTTCCTTTTCTTTTCTCTTTTGTTTATTTTTTTCTTTCTGCTTTTGCTTTTTTAATCTGCTTTTTTACTTTGATTATTGTTGGCAAGAATATTGGCTTCATCACTATCTGCAAAGGCAATAAATATTCGAGAACTGTCGAAGAGGATTAGTGATGATGGATGAATGAATTTATTCTTGCCTTTATACCTTGTCTTAGATGTAGGATTTACCAGCATGATATCCTCTGGGGCTTACTGATGATGGGTTTCTGGAGAGTTCTGAGCTGGTTGAAAAGTTGTGAAACATTTCCTTGGCAGATCATGTTATATTCTTCTGGAGTTTTAGCCGCAGCTAACCGTGCTGACACTGGTGCCTTTCTGGATTCCAAATGTAGGGTTATCCGTAATATGCAGTGTTACTAGCCAAGTAGGTTAAATGCTGGCAATTGAGGAGCTAGTTTATTTTAGTAGAAATCCATTTGACTGATCTTTCTCAGTAGTGGTATTTTTAAATAATCCCCACCATTTATTTTGTGTCCTTTTACCACATAAGGGAATTTGAGTTCCTGCGAACATATTGAAATAATCAAATAGCGACTGGTAAAACCCAGGGTGAAGAAATCAAAGTAAGACATCAAAGGA